ATTTAGCAAAATTTTATTCCAATTCTAAAGCTACATTCTGTGAACCAAACAGAAAGATTCCAATTCCTTAACAGATTCCATTCCAAAGTCTGCCAACCAAACAGGTGGTCAAACCTGACAACATTCCATTCCAATTCCTTCAAAGTCAAATTCCTTTAACAGATTCCATTCCATCCAAAAACATTCTGCAAACCAAACGCCACCTCATATTTCGTGTCACATCATAATGCTTACACGCGGACTATTTATCCATCGTCGATCTCATTTAATTCATTGGCTTTGTTTATTGTTATGATATCCGAGCGTACGTGCTCCATCTAGAATTACCTCCTTTTTAATTGGAAATATAAAATAACAATACTTATTTCGCTTTAATAATAAGATTATTTCATATTTAGAATTATTTTAATTTATCTCAAGCTTATGACTTTTTATTTGTAAGTAAAGATTATATATATATATATATATATATATATATATAAATAAAAAAGTAAATTAACATTAAAAAAATCTAGTAATTTGAAGTCTTAATATAGTAGATTTTATACTTCTTTTTAAAGCAAGGCAAAAATACATCCAAATCAACTAAAAAGTTACACAAACAATCGCCTTCTAAATCTTGCGACATGGACTCCGGGATAGAGTGAGAATCTGAATAATAATGCTAAAGTTTTATTGTTGACGCCGATGATAGATTCCAACGCCACCAACGAAAGATATTCTTTAACAATTGAAAAACAACTGGATATTTATTGCAGGAATGATCAATGGTCTCTACTTCGTTTTCGTAAAAAAGACAGTAATGAATGAAGATCCAATCCTTTATCATGAAGCACAGCCTTACCGGAATCCTTCCCACTATATAAGATGCCACATGAAGATACCCACCTTCTTTGGGATGATAGCACACCAAACGAGTCCGTGAAAGAAATACCAAACGATTCGTGAAAGAAATACCAAGTTTTTCCAAGTCATTACCCATCCTCAAGATCTCACCCCACGCTCCCCATGAACCACCTTATCTTCTAGTAGTTGATCCCGAGTTCCCAGCGATACCAAACCCCCTGTCCTCCCCAAAAAACTCTTGATAACCCTCACCCACAACATGTCGTTACTAGTTTTAAATCCCCAACCACTACTTCCCAGTAAGCCCCCAATTAACAAATCAAAGACAACCAACAAAACTAAAACGATTTAAAACAACATTGACACAAGCCCATTTTCTATGAGAATCATTTTCCCTAAAAAAACTCTCTCCTTACAGTCTCTAAGAATTTGTAAGACTTTAACAAGTGCATGAAACAGGGAAAGAAGTATAGAGTAAGACTGCCCAAGACGGTTTAATAAGCATTAGTTGACCCCAGACGGGAAGCAACATGCCCTCCAATAAGAAAGCTTATATTTAAACTTATTAATTTATGGTTTTATTCATTTTTTCTAACATGAAGCTCAAGGTAGGTAGACGGTAAGGTTCTGAACCGACAATCTATTTCCGAAGCCATAAGCGAAATTTCACCTTCCATCAACCCCATAACATAAAGCTTACTTTCTGCGACATTTATTTTAAGACCCGAGACCGATTTAAAACACTCCATAAATCTCATCAAGTTTCTAAAATTATTTGAGTTCCATTTGGCAAAAAATATAGCATCTCCGCGAATTGAAGATGTGAAGCACATACGTCATTCCTTCTGACTAAAATTATGATAACCAGGTTTTGGTTGTCACCTAAGGTAATAAATATGTGATTATTTATTATATGTGATTACATGACAGCGTGATAAATTGATGTACTTGATCATGTTAATATGTGAAAATATGGATAATATAGATGCATGAATGAGATTATGTGAATATGTGGATACACATGTCTGTATGATATATATATATATATATGTGGATATGCATGCATGTGAGTATAAATATATATATATATATATATGTGTGTGTGTGTGTGTATGTGTGTGTGCGATTAATTGATATATATATATATATATATATATATATATATATACACACGCATGCATGAGTATGGATGCATGGGTTGTGGGTATGTGTGTGAGTTCAGCCGACCTTTATTGTTAAAGAAATGTATAAAAGGAGGGCTTAGCCTCCATTTCTTTTCTTCTTGTCATTTTGAGAGTTTGAGCGATTTAGAAGAAAAAGAGCTGACCGGATTATTTCTTGACAGATGATCAAGTTGGTTTTCAAAAGGGTTTTAAGATGAGTAATTATTACTACTTTTAAACTCTTCATAATTGTATAATTGAGTATAGAACTTTACTTTTGATTTAAAAAGTTATCCAGTGGAGTGTTGTCCGGATTAGTCTTAAACCGGACAAGTGTTAGGCAGATTAGCCTTAATCCGGTCAAGGCATTCTTAGTGAATGCACAAAAACTAATCATATGATGATTGTGAGTTTGAGTTTTGTTTCATGAAATTAATAAATATAAAGGCATTGCCCATTTTATTATGTATATATTATATTCTGTGTTTTAATTATTCATAATAAATAACCTTAGAATAATGTATTCTAAATAACCAGAGATAAGTTAAATTTGAACTATTTGGGGCAAAGGTTGCTGCTATAGCCGTAGGATCTCTTTTGTTAACTTTACCGACCGGATTAATATTAGAACTCGATAACTGTGCGTACCATCTATTTCTAGAAATTTGATTTATGTATCTTGTTTAGACAGGAAAAGTTTTACCTTTAATATTAGGAACAAATGTTGTTCATTCTCTTTTGGTAATATATATTATGGTGATGCAAGTTTGATTAATGGTCTTTATGTTCTTAAAATGAATAATCCGATTTATAACATAGATAAAAGGGAGGTCAAATCAAATAGTTCAAATTTAACTTATCTTTGGCATTGTCGCCTTGGGCATATAAAGGAAACTCGCATCTCCAAACTCCATAAAGATGGATTATTGAACAAATTAGATTTTGAATCATATGGGACGTGCGAAGGTTGTTTAAAAGGAAAGATGACAAAGGCTTCGTTTGTTGGACAAAGTGAGAGAGCAAATGATGTATTGTGAATCATACATAGTGATGTATGTGGCCCGATGAACATACAAGCTAGATGTGATTATAGATACTTCATTACATTTACTAATGATCTTAGTAGATTCGGCTATGTATATTTGATGCGACATAAGTCCGAGTCTTTTAAGATGTTCAAAGACTTTCAAAATGAAGTACAAAACCAACTTAGAAAGAGTATTAAGATTCTTCGATCTGATCGAGGTGGTGAATACTTAGACCATGCTTTTCTTGATCATCTTAGAAATTGTGGTATCGTGTCAGAACTCACTCCACTGGAACACCGCAGTGGAATGGTGTTTTCGAAAGGAGGAATCGTACAGTGTTGGACATGGTACGATCTATGATGAGTCAATCTGACCTTCCGACATCCTTTTGGGGATATGCTCTAGAGACAGCAGCTTTCACACTAAACCGG